TTTGCTGGTGGTTTAGGCAGATATTTGTCCTTTTTTTCGCTTTTTGTTTTCTTCACAGGGCTGCGAAAATTAGAAAGCTGTAATACTGTATGTTACTTGTTGCAAATCACGTTCACGAAATCTATATATCTATACTAAAAGGCTGTACCCGTTGCAGGCACCTTACATCAGTACAGGTACCGTACAGGTCAACCAACTGCTATTTCGAACCAAAAATAGTAGAAAGTCATGTTGATGCAATCAAGGGTACCGGTAGCCTACCGTATGTCAGTACGGAAGAATTCGCCTTCGATACGATGCTGCATTTTTATTAAACAGAATCTATTACTGTAGTAGTGAATTATTTTGGTAGACCAACTATGTGTAAACGCTGCGCATATGGTATTTGTGTATTTGCCCGCCTGAAAACCTGTACGGTACCCCTGTCGTTCAAATGGAGTAAGATTTGTAACTTTTCCGAAGCCACATATTGACCGCCAAAAAGCAATGAGATGGATAAAGATATGCAACAGGCCTCACAGTCAATTTTATCTTGGAAAAAATCACCAGAAATACCTACGTGTGTACCAAAGTAGACCAACATAAATATTGTTTTCGATACCAATGATATATTCAGTATGTTAATTCTTACATAAAACAAATTTTCATACAAGCAATGTGTTCCATCATGCATTTTCATGGAGGCTATGGACCAACTGATGAATACCCTGACCCTATATCAGATTCTTGTCGCCCAACAAAAAAGCACCATCAAATTGTAAGGTAAGGATTACTTATACCATAATTTAACTTTGTATCATAATTGAACAGGATCTGTCACCAGATACTTCATTTGATACAGAGACATGCGAATCTGACAAAAGTGAGAAAGAATTGTCAGGAATCCAACCAGGTCTGCCCCCAGACTCTTTAGTTGAAACTACCTCAAGTGCCGCTGATGAAAATGACAGCGCTCTGTCATCATCATTATGGTTCTCTGGCATAAAACAACATAAAAAGTCAACATACAAACAAAATGCAGAGAAAACTGGAACTCGAGCATAGCTTAAAATAGATTTCAAAAAGGACGCGGCTACCTACTAGAAAAAGAAATAATAAAAGGGCACGAAAGAATTAACAAGATTCAGAATCGGGCAACACTTTTAACGTAATTCAAAATGAGAAAACACATACTTCTTCCAGATTTGTCATATTTGTCGACTGTAAAAATGATGAATAAAGAAGGAAAATTAATATTGAAGACTTAGGTCTTCATGCAGAATCTTTTACAGTCCATTGGTGATAAAATGATGTTACTTTACGGAGGATGCTTCGCATGCATGCCATGTCCGGTGTGACCCGGGTGATTGCAATATCATTTTTTGTGCGAACTGCAAAGTCTGCTGCTCCTGATACCAGAAGTTGGCCCTGCTCTTGGTAGTAACTGTGGTGTGTGATAAATATCCTTATTTTGTTAGGTTGTTTTGCATTTATCACTGTCATATAAATTACAACTTGTTCATGATCACCTGATAACTTTAGAACCGAATCAAGTGGTGGGTGTTTGCCCATCTGACTATATAACAATGAGGTATGGCTCAGTGAGCGCAATTCTTCCATATTATCAGAAGATGAAACTAGACAGCTTTAATAAAATAACTCAGCAGTAAAATCATTGTAATACATTATGTCTGTGAATGGAATTGTGAAATGAATTTAATTCTAACATTTTGACGTTTCATGGTTTTTGTTTGTTGTGCCCAAAAGCATATATCTGGTGTGTATTTTAAACCTATACAACACAATATCTGGAAAACTGTATAACTTGTAGTAATTTTCTTGCTTGTTCCTTCATCATATATTTTTTATAATCTGTTATATTCTATTTCTACACTGAATGAATAAACTATATTGTAAAACCTATCAGATACCCGACTGTTTTTAGTTGAACCGGTATGATTGGAACTCTGGCTCGATCTAACTTTGTGGGATTAGCACCAACTACAGACGACAAAACTGTTGGATCTATTTTGTTCCCTCCATATAGGTTGTTACCAATGCTGGGGAACTCTTGTACATGCTTGGCTCAGCGGAAAATCTTTTATTCCCCTCAATTTCATCTGTTGGATAGTCTTGGTTAGTCCAACGATATGGAAACAAGCACCAGTAGTTCTGATGAATATGTAACAATTTTTAAACCATGTTTATCACTATAACATTATTGGTCTTGTAATTTTATGTGGTATGTAATCGATACATCAATAAACCTGTTGAATTTAATGTTTCGATAGTATATTTGCACCCATCTTACTGAGCTAATAAATCTGTGTTTCTATGATACGACATAAACTTAAGTGCCCTCACCATGCCTAGCATGTACAAATTGCATCAGAGACTTGGTGACTATCCAGCGACACCACTATTTGAAGATGATGTGGTGGCAGAGACTCCTGAACTTATTTATAGCACTTGTCTTTAAAATCTAGCGTTGAACCATCATGAATGTATCTGAAAAAAATATTCACCTGTTCATAATTACAGATTGCTGTAGCTTGTGCAATTTATCCAAGAATGTATTCAAAAGACTTTTTACCCTGCCCCTGCATTTCATTTGTTTCTATACTAAACCCACCAATTAAGTCCTAACTTGGACGTTATCTATTAGTCTATGAACCATGGGATACCGGTACGGTACCGGTAGTCACGCTGGTCTCCTAGTCCTCTAACATTCTTCAACCATTTCTCGCCATCACCAGAGAAATGCCATTCGAAGGCCTTTAAAACGAGCAACGTACCACTCTATCGCCCTACACAAACCTGAATATTTGCAATGTTTGTCTGAGCGACCAACATCAAAACGATAAAGGTCGGGGAAAGGTCCATTCTTTGTGAAATCGGAAGAAACTACAATTTCGTTACCAATCATATAAAAATTGTTATTGTTAATTCTATCCAATTCAGTACGGTTGGAAAGCCTAAAAATATTTTATGAAATAAATAAGTTGTGTATAGTTATGAGTAATTATAAATGAAAATCTGTTTCTGTTAATGTGTGAAAGTGATCGCATTAAAGCATCGTGCCATCGGTTACATGGGACTTTTTTACCAATGCTCATCCCATTTTGATTGCAATAGTTTTAATCCTCATTCTGTAATACACGTTTAATTGCAATGTTTTAAAAGAACGTGTTCAAAGAAGGAGAAAAATAAAATTCTCAAATAGAAAGAAAATCATCACTAGCGCATATAAGTTTGCTCTACATCACCTCTAGTGTTCGTGGTTTTAGCTTATTTAATTCTTAAAGTTTCCTTTTTTTGAAAAAAAAATAACAAAGCGTGTCAAACCTCCACACGTAACAGTAAAAATAAAAAGAGCTGTCTAAAACTTTCATACCCAAATAAATCAACGACAAATGTATACATCATTTAGTAGGGATTTGTAATATTATCACTGAAATAGGAAAAATAAATTAAAATTGAATATTGGACTAGGATCGAATAAAAAAAATGTATATTCGAATACATTATTATTTTGGTGATTAAAAAAGTACGAAAGTACGAGGCGAAAACGAAGTAGTATGGGTATGCAATCTTCCACAGTAGACTACCGGTAACGCAGCTTCCACGACTTCGCCTGACCACCAGATCGCGAACGCGGAACGCCAATTTTTTTATTTTAATGACGTCTCGAACAAATTACCGAATGTCTTAAAGCCCGCAGATACTCTTGAAATATATAAAAGTAATAACCTTCTAGCGAAAAATTGAATTGCGAAGCAATTGGAGCTGTAGATGAAAAGGAAGGCGATTTTTTCATACGGTAACAACAAGAATACATAACGACCACATCACAACACGATTCATGGATTCATTTCGTGTCCAATAAACGTTTCCAGTTGATATGGAAGATAGTTTTTATAATGTCGATGAGGCTTTGTCGTGTCAACAAAATTAAATATATTCTCGCTTGTGTTTTCAAGAACTTTCGCAGTGATGTTCCAGTCAGTTTTTTTTTTACAGGGTTGACAGCAACAGTTTCCTGAATGCAATGTCATGTGTCCCAACAGAGATTACAATTCACCACTTATAAAAGTCCATAGTTAATTGAAGAAGAATATTAGCAGTTTTCTGCAATAAACTTTAATCAAACATTCTTTTTGTGAAATTCTCTCGCAACAAACTGTTTCCATGGTTACAATTTCCATAATAAACTCTAAGATAAAATATCGGCGCTAGATGTAGATAAAGAGTTCTCATTTTCAATTTTCACTCAATTTATTGTAATCATAAATATGAGTTGAAGATGATTGTAACAAAAAGATACAGCTAGAGAAAAAAGTTCAAACCAGTTGGAAGTTGTCAATGTGTATATCATGCACTTATGGAAAAAAGAATAATTATCCAACAAATGTCCTCAAGAAAAACATAACAATCTGTAGCAATGTCCATATTTGAAAAACTGCAGCACCATGAAACTTATATTGGAACAAGTGACCGTAAATTAAACAGAAATATTCGTAATATTTTACTTTCGAGTCGTATTATTTTATTTTGCCTTTTAAATGATCCGACCTCTTGGGTACAAAGTCATTTGAAAGACAGTACTATAAAGTATACAGATTCAAATTGTCATGTTAAAAATACCAAGTAATACTTGTATCATTTCTATCAGAATTATAATAGTAAAAAAAACAAATCGAGTTATTTTAAAAGTAACCTAATTACACAAATATAGCAACATTGCAAACATGCAAAAATTGAGATTTTCTGTGTACTAGTTTCACAACAACATTTCAAATAAACCATGAAATTTGAAAATTGTGCATCTGGAAAAATAAGCATTCATACGGCCCATGTTGTAACTCATGAGAAAATGCATAAAATAAATAGGGAATTCACATTCTAAGCAACATCATTAAACGGTTTTTGAAAATTCGTTTACTGCTTGTATACATCCCGATCTAATAAAATATTTTAAAGAGAGGTGTTATGCCAAAGTAAAAGTTTCAATAAATTTTTTCCGTCATCCATCAATTAAAATATGAAAAGAGATTTATTTTATGGTAAATTGGCCCATTAATTCTACCAATAGCAATTCATTCATTTAGATAGTTGCAACCTGGTCTCTCAAAATAAGAACTCCGTAATCCAGTGTGAATGGCTAAGAAATACATTTGTGTGTGAAAAGATTCTGCTTGAAACTGACAAAAAAAATCCTAAATCTTTAAATTGCCACCATTTCTAGTAACTGCATCTCAATCCATGATTTAAAAAAAAATTAGAACCAGGAGTTGAAAGCTGTTAAGGTGCAGATCATGCATTGTCCCATCATAATGTGTATATTTTACCTACTACGTGTAACGGTGTATGTAATCAAAAACAATTATCTTCAAAATCCAACAGAAAAACACAGCAGTCTGTGGAAACGTTAATCATTAAAAATATATAGCAACATGAAACTGAAGCAAAGTACACAGAAACAGAGTGTTTCCCTGTGGTTTTGTGTCCGTTCAGTTGTAAAATCATTTAAAAGACAAGAAGATACAGAATCTAATTTTTTTTAAGCAGTAATTGTATTATAAATTCGTATCAGAATAATACTTAAAAAACCAAAATTAAGTTATCTAGTAACACAAATATTGCAAATATACATTATTGCAAATTTTCAAAAATAATGATATTAGGCTGAAGTGAAACTTTCATTTGATTTTTTATATTTAACAATGTCTTTTACACGAGCAAATTCTGGTAGGTTAAGATGGGTGTAGAATAGGCATTCCAGTATGAGATGACCAGCTTTTTATTTCATTATCACCTAAAATAAGAAAATGTTTCATGTTACAGTATAATATTATACTTCATATCACACAGGACTGAGGCTGCATGACCCGTTGGATAATTCATTCTGGCCCGCCTGATGCTACAACAACCAAACTAAAACTATATTTCGATGTTTTAGCTGAAAAATAGCTCAGGGAATTTGTTGAACTTGCAGATTAAATGTAGTTTTGGTACGAGGCTTATGTATCCCACTTTTTCTTTTATAGCACGTTGAATAAAATTACATAAAATATAACATTTTACTTCACAATAGCACGGCCTGTTGGTCTAGTTGTAGAAAAAAATTTTCCCATGGTCAAAAAACTCTGCCCGTCCCTGCACTTTAGCACATAGAAATTTTGAATAAATGTTTCGCCCGACTTTCTTTTCCGTCGTGAAACGGAAATCACGTATTACGTCATGCTCATATGTAGAATAATGCAGCTTTGGAAGAATTTGATGAAAAGATAGACACTTACTTATCAACGACCATGCTTGTTTCTGAATACAAAATGATAGATTACGTTAGGGTTAGATGATAATGTGAATATTATACCATTGCCTCATTTATTTTATTCACTTATTTAATTCGTCATCCATTTTCAAAGTGAATTGACGGATATGACAGTTTTTTTATTGTTTGTACACAAAGACTAAACAGAAATTAGAAATATGTCAATTACAGAATAAATGATTGTAAACTCGTATATTTTATAGAGACAATTTAAAACCTATTCCCTTTTGGTATGAAAAGAAGCACATATTTCGCACATTTTCAACGAAAAACCTGGATCATGTAATTTAACAATTATTAACTTTGTATCATTGGCGAGACAACTTAGTTGCATTGTGATTTACATCTGAGTGAGTTACATTGTATATATATATATATATATATATATGTGTTTTTGAATTTTATTGTCTCAATATGTTGTTGACTATAACTATCTCCACAGCACAGATGGCAATAAAATTCAGTTTTTGTATATTTTTCGAAAAAATAACGACACTTACCAGTAGAATCTTGATAAACCTTGGTTCATAATTATTTCTTCTCAAATCAGCAGCATACAAAGCAAATTCTTTCAAGGATGGGAAGATCGGGTTAGTCTGTGTAACAAAACAAATTCCACTTTCAGACATGTTATATCATATATACCTATATTATGGATGGCGGAAGCAAAATGACACACTGTACAATTTTCAAATAGTTGCGCTGTTTACGTGCCAGTATTACATTTTTTGCATGTCTATTGAGTGTTTTGTGTAACGGTGTCATATCTGATCTGGTATATTCACTCTGCTAAATATGAACTAAGTAGAGACATTTGCTGAATCCTCATACTAGAATAACTAGATTGATACTTGAAATGTGAATATGAAATAAAAACTGAGACAAAAGATGTTGAATTATGACAGAGCTACTCGGGGAGGCTAATCGGTTGCAAATTCTTTCTTTTTTGTAATACAGGGTGTCTCAAAAGTAGGTATACAATTTTGATTTGCTTTTCAGTTACTCATCAATTTCTTCAAGGAACATAATATGGATAAGCAGTAAAATTTAGGTATCGTTTGCATTTTTCATCAACCCATAGAATGACAAGGATATTAAGACAAAAATGAGGTGCAAAATTGCTACTTGGCAAGAAGCATATAAATTAGTAAGGCAAACTCAGCACCTCTTTAAGAGAGAATTTGGGACTATACCGCAGTCACTGAAGTGGCGAAAAATTACCATATCAATTGTATTGTATTGTTATGCCATAATCGCTGTAACTGCAGTAACTGCGTGCCAGTATAATATACCGGTAATTTAGTGGTTACCCTTATTGTCAGACTGGAATAAAGTTGGTTTTATTACCGATTTCTGTCACTGAAATGGTAGTATTTCTTCCTTAATTCGTAAGTTGGTAGATCAATCGATGTAAAAAGTATGTTTAATTAATAAATTTTCCATTGTACTAAAATAAATTGTTCTCATCAAAAATCACGAAAAAAACTATATTTAGCTTAGCCTTCAATTAAAAATGATCACAGAAAAACTTACATATTCCATTTCATTAACATTGAACAACAGTTTCATTTTCAATAGTTTTAGATATAGGGCACCAACTAAAGTTCAAGTGCTCAGTGCATCTAAAATGCATGATCCGGTACGGGGTAGACACCATTAAAAGTTAAAATGTGGGATATGTCGGCCATACTATATATATAAATCAATTAATTTTGTAAATGGTCCAATATAATACAGTTTGGACCTGATAGTTTGTTTGAAAACCCCACAATAATATATTTACAACAGACGGAGATCTAATAAAATACGAACTAAATCGTTCGAGTTTACTACCTAATTACAGGGAGTTCCAAAATAAATGAAACCCATTAATTCGATTACTAATTTTGTTGGTTTCATTTATTTTGAAACGTCCTATATATTAAAATCTTATAAAAAGATAATTGAATAAATTATTGAATAAATAAGTGTCGATTTCTTTACCATAAACCTGCAACCCCGTATAAAGACAATTTGTGAATTCATTATAATATAACACAGAACTTACCATTTTGTTTTCCCCGGTAATGAAAATCTCCGGCAATAAAAATGAATTCTGATCTATTTACATAAAACACAAAACTCCGCGAGTCTTTGTTCACAGAGAAGTACTAACTGACATTGATGATAAATAAAACAAAAATTGAGAGGACACTATGGCCTACTTATATGCACACGAACTTTACGTTCCAATGCTCAGGGTAGGTTTACATCTGCTACGCTTATGCGAGTGTCGCGACAGATTAAAAATGCTATTTTGAACGTCGGACATACTACGGGAGTCACTTGGCTAGTCTCCGAACTCGTAATAGAACTATAATAAGAAAAATTGTCAGTCTTATAAAAACAAATTTCAAAATTCTATTTCAATTAATTATGTTGATTTATAATTTTCAGCATAAGCATGCAGTCTATGTAAAAAGCTGAGTTGCAATTCATTGTAATATAACACCTAACCTCAACTTCTCGTTTTCTTCGGAAATAAAATTTAACTCTGAGCTTTTTAAACGGAACAAAAAATATAAGCCTTCATATACAGAATACAGATGCGTACTAACATGGATGATGAATAGAACAAAAATTGAGAGGCAGTACTATGGCTTGCTTACTTGTATGCACAACTGAGTTTACACATGGTGTAACTTTTTTCAAATTTATCATGTGAATCAGAAATGACAACACACCTAAAAAAGTTAAAAATATTGGAACTTCATTAATATCAATTTTTGTTATACCGCAATATAATCAGTCAATATCAGTATCTATTAGTCCAAAAGCGTAACAAACGAACATACAAATTTTAATAATAACCTGCTATATTCGCCGTTGTTTAAAAAATGATCATGTCTTGATGCACATTAATACCTATTCTCTCTTACGATGCGTGAAGAAATTCAAATATGTCACACGTCATATACGTTTGCTAAAGGCTGCTGGCATATGAACGAAAGTTTTGCGGCAGTTAGTGTCGATATATCAGTGGTTTGCAAATTTATTTGTATTGTGACACCCCGTGATAAATGTCAATAAAAGGAAAAATAGTCATCATCAAACGAAATCCAAAGACTACTTGCGAATCTCCTTTTCAGAATTTATTGTTCAGTATAATTATTTCTATTGTGTACTTCTGCAGTACAAGTTAATATTTAACCCATTTCGACTCCACGCGCGTCAAACAGGTGCGAATCCGATAAAAACGACCTCCACTTTGAGAACCATGGTATTACGTATTAGTCATCACAAAAAAAGCGGTATGCTTATAAATGACAATTTCCCTTCTGCGTTTAGACCTGAGCAACTTTGAAATCAACGTTTTTTATTGTGTTAAAAACATCTCAAACAGACCGTAAATTGTGAAAAAGCAAGGTGAATGGCTCGCGTTAATATTGAAATAATGCTATTACAATAACAGATGATTGCTTCGATTGTGCCAAATTATTAAATTAAACATGAAATTACCGGGATGCACAAACCGTACAATCATTCCGCTTCATTCAAATTAGTGATATGCTATTTTATTTCATTTGTAAATAGCAAGAACATTTTGAGGATAGTTTTAATTTCTGTGTTATTTTTTGTGTTTTTTGTTATCTATGTGTTAACATAAACCTACAACCCTGTATAAAGCAAATTTGTAAATTCATCATAATATAACACAGAACTTTTGTTTTCTCCGGTTATAAAAATCTCCAGCAATAAAAATGAACTCTGAGCTTTTTGAATGAAACGAAAAATGCTGCGAGCCTCTGTTCACAATAACTAACATTCATGATTCATAGAACAAAAATATGGAGCTTTTACTATAGCTTACGCTACATGTATGTACGTACACTAAGTTTAAGTTCCAATGCCCAAAAATGGGCTTACAACCGCTACACTTATGCGTTATAGCTGATTTCTCCCAATATATCACCACGATGGAAACGTTTATACACACATATTTGTTTTTTCAATTTCTGAAACTCTTCTTGCAGATCAGAGTTTACAACACATATAAAAAGGTTGAAAATAAATAAACCGCATTAACTGCTATACCGCATTAATCGTTCATCAAATAAAATTATTATTCTCCGAGTCCAGAATGTGTAACAAACATATCTGTAACGATGTCCATCTACTAGTTTTAGTTCCTGTTTGCAGAAAATGCAGATTACGCATTATATAAGGCTTTCACTCGCATGTGGAATATCTATATGTTTAAACGCACTTTTCTCTACTTTCCACATAACACAATTAAACTTAATAGTGCCGGAAGCTGCGTGCCTGCCTGGGAAAAACTAGAATGATCAAACTCGTACACGAAGTCATACCAGCAAACGCCCAAAAGTTCAATTCAAGCAGCAATTTCACTATGCTTTAACATTGATCCAACATCTTGATAATGGTGCGTTCGATCAACAGTCTTTTTCACTTAAACTACGTTTTCAACAATTTTTTTTCGAATCGCTTTACCAAATCACTCTACAGTATGTACTATATGCTGTACGTAGAACTGAAACGCGCTCGCTGATGGGAGTGTCAAATATATGTACCACACCCCGTTTTCATGAACGTGTTTCTTAGGTTGCAATCCCTCCTCGTATATAGGTTTTTTAGAGAACGTGTGACGTGCTTGTCTGAGTTTAAATCTTTGTGTAATAACTGATAACACTGCCAAACACGATCGAGTCGGAACGGCAGGTTTACTTTTACTGACTGCGAGTCATCACACTGTCGTGGGTAAAATACAATGGCACCATAGATTTTGTTTTAGAACTCGTAATAGAACTAAAACAAGAGAGATACGCCCATATATATTGACACGTCTGTTCGCAGTACAGTACGGTTTACCGTACCGTCGATCAGCGTCATAGCAAACAAAAACAAATCTCACAGAGCTAACAGAAATATTTGAAATAAATAAAAGTAATAGTCTTCTGGAGAAAAATTTCATCTTTAACCAGTAAAAATTTCGAAGCAATCGGTCCAGTAATGAAAGAGAAGAGCGGTTTTTCAAATTTTCCACTAGATGTCCAAAAAGTGTCAAAAAACAACAACAACAAGACCAACATAATATTGAAACGATCGTTATGTCCACTACGCGTCCAATAAGGAAAATTGGAATAAAATCATGGCCTAATCCTAACCTGGTACGCATACTATGTTCAGGTGTCCGCCATTTTGGTCCATATACTACGGGAGCGCCTATGTATGCGCTCCAAGTAAACAATGAATCTGTGATGTCAATTTTGAGATTCCCAGAGCATTACCCGTTTCTATACTGGAGAAGCCAGTTAAATTCTGCCAAATGTATTGCAATAAAATGACATAAATATATTCTATGAAGATTAGAATGTGAAGTGATTGTACTGGAAATTTACATAAAGTTGTATGCATTTGTGTTGGTTATGAAGAACATTGTTTGGAGTATGGAATAATTAATAAAATTCACAAACTCTGCTACAATTTCACAAAACATGTGTGGTGACAGCTTGCAGCTTTATATTGCAATACTAGTGTTATCGGATGTATTACTACTATTGTTCTCAAAGTAAACATATCAGAATATTTTTTGAAC